GTTAGGGGGGGGGTTTGCCAGGGGAGGGGGGGGGGGAGGGTTCCAGCAGGGGGGGGGGATTTTCGGAGGGGGGGGGGGCGACCCCCGGTTTCCAGAGGAAAAGGTTGGCAATTTTCCAGAGTAAAGCGGCGGTGGATCACGCTCTCTCGTTTATATATATATATATATATATATATATATATATATTATATAATATATATATATATATTTTCCTATCTTAATAATCTCACACCAGGAAACTGACACCGAAGGGTCCCACCCCCCCCTCAATAGGATTTGGCGGCCCACTGGAGCCTCCTGGGCCGCCACGGGGGCCTCCCGGACCTCGACTTCGGCCCCCCAGACCCCGTTGATGGCTTCGAGCAATTGCCGAGACGGCCCAAAAACGCTCCAAGACGGCTAAAGATAACCTCAAGACGGCCCCATAGGCAGCCAACGAGCCCACAAGGGCTTCAAGCGCCCCCCGAACAGCCCCCCGAGAGGGTGAGATCGATCAAAAACCTATAGGAAATTGATAATTTCCGCCTTCTAACTTGATCGCCTCCTATCAGCCTCCGCGGCCTCAATACGGCATCCAAGCAGCCCCCAAAGAGGCCCAAAAGGTCCCCAACAGGCCCCAAGAGGCCCCCAAAGGCCCCCAAGAACACCTGCAAGGATTCCAGAAGGCTCTGAAAACACCCCCCAAAGCCCCCAAGAGGCCCCCAAAAGGCTCCCAAGAGGCCCCAAGAGGTCCCCTGGAACGCCCCGAAGCCCCGTAAAGGCCCCCAAAGCCCCCCTACATATTGCAAGAGGCCCCAGTGCCACTCCGAACCACCCCCGATCTCCCACAAAAGCCTACCAGCTCTCCTTCCTGCTCTTCCTAACCGCCTCTCCCGAACGCTACCTCGCACCGCGAATCCCAGACGGACTTCCACCTCCAAAATACCACAAGCGCCCCAACATGTTCATCTAGCCTTCATACTTAAATGGTGGTCCGTATCCTTCCGAGACCGTCTTCAGAGCCTACCGGCTCTCCTCTCTCCCTTCTTACCACCCCTGCCCATTCCCTCCCACCTCCCCACACCGCTCCCCCGCACTCTCCATGGTCCCTCCTGCCATGCCGGCCGCTGCTGCAGGCTCAAGCCTTATCGCGTGACGGCCGTCAAATGCCACCGAAGCGCTCAACCTTGACTTGCACGCAATGCCATCGATGCTTGGACACGTCTGCCTTTTCCGCCACGCAGTTGCACTCTTCATCTCGGACAGCCCGATGCAAGGAGTGCTGCTCCACCGCTAATGCCCCTGTACTTCTACGACCCTGCGCCAGCTGCGGGACAGAGCTCGCGCAGGCTGAGTACGCGCCGGACCAGTGGCGACGAAGTACCCGCAAATGTTTGACCTGCACAAGAGCCGCGCTTCAGCGTAGCGGGGCACTTAGACAGCATACCGACATCGTCTGCTCCAGGTGCGGCGTCTGCTGGCCCACCGACATGTTTCCACAGCGGGCCCCGAAGCGGGTTGGCCCAGTTTGCTTCAACTGTGCCGCGCCCGCCCCCGACGGCGGCCGCCCACCGTCGACCCTCGCCTCCATTTCTTTGGGGGACATGTCCACCCAATGCGACCACTGCGGCGCACTTTTGTTCAACTCGGAGTCCAAAACGTTCTGTTGTAATGCCGGGAAGTACTTCGTCAACTTTAACACCTATTTCCAATGCCCCGACAAACCCCTCTGCGACATCTTCGCCTCCCATTGGCCGCTCACAGACGACCGCGGAGACAAGATGTACGACACCACCACCAACGAGCTTCGGTGCACTGGCTTCACAGCGCAGTCCAGGCGGTACAACAGCCTCTTCGCCCTCGCACAACATGAAATCCAGTGCAGCACTGGAGACAAAGAGCTTCGATTCGGAGACGCCCGCCGGCCAGCAAACATCCGTATCCATGGGACGATTTACCGACGCGTATTCTCTATGGCAGACCAGGTCCCTCTGCGATACCTGGTGCACGATCCGCAAGACCGCTTCGTCACCGCCGCGGCGCACGGCCTCAACAAGCAGACCACCAAACAACTCGAAGAGCTCATAGTACCGAGAAATGCCCACATGCGTATGATTCAGCGTTTGGCCCGCCAGTCCAAACAAGCAGCAGACGCGAATATCATCTTGGAGTGGCGCGAGGGAGTCAACGAAGTGGCTGGAATACTGGACGTCGACCCCACCCCTGACCGAAACAAAAGGTCCATCGTCTTCACATACAAGCGCCACGACACGCCGTCCTACTTGCACCCGCTGAGCCCGTTTTACGAACCCTTGAGTTACCCCCTGTGGTACCCGTTCGGCGGCCGCGGCTGGAGCACAGACGTCATCAGCGCCACCGGCCACAAGGTAACACAGATGTGGTGGTATCGCCAACAATTGCTCCGACTCCCCCACATGCGCCTTTGCGGGCGGCTGCTCAACGAGTGGCTCATCAACATGTTCACGCGCATGGAAGACGAGAGGTTCTCCCACATCCGTCATCAACAACGACAGCGTAGCGCCAATCGCCAGGAGCTCTGCGAGGTGCTCGCCAACGACCCCGCCAAGGCCGGAACGGTTGGCAAACAGTACGTTCTGCCATCGAGCGTCCCAGGATCACCTCGCCATCTTCGCCGACTGCGCGTTGACGCCCTGGAGCTGGCGCGACGCAAAGGCCCGCCGTCGTTCTTCATCACGTTGACTTGCAACCCCTACTGGCCAGAGATTGTGGGTCAACTGCACCGCGGACAAACCGCCGCCGACAGACCCGACATCGTCGTCCGCGTCTTTCACGACCGGCTGCAGAAGATCGTCGCTTTCTTGAAGGATTCTTTCTGCGGGGCTCGCCGTTACCTCATCAAAGTGATCGAGTACCAGCTCCGCGGCCTTCCACATGCGCACATCGCTCTGGCTGTCCTCAACCCGCCCGCCACTCCGGACGAGGTCGACCTTCTCATCTCCTGTGAGCTACCCCGCGAAGACGGACGACTCCTCGAACTCGCCCTTCGCCACATGGTCCACAGCTGCAACCATTCTTGCCACCCTCAAGACCCCGCTCAAGACTGCGTGAAAGGATGCCCCTGGCCGTTTTCGGACGACACGGTCTTCGACGCGCGCGGCTACCCCCGCCACCGGCGGCGACCATGCGGCGGCCACTGCCCGAATTGCCGATCTGGCCGGGCCATGCGCGGGAAACGCGACGTCTGCCTCAATCGGCTCATCGTCGAATACAGCCCCGTGGCGCTTCAACTCTGGGAGGGGCACGCCAACGTCAAGTACGCAGCGACGGTGGAACTCTTCGAATACCCATACAAATATTTGTTCAAAGGCCCTTCCAAGACGAACTACGACGTCACGCTAGATGCGAAGGTTGCCGACGAGAGTTCCGAGTGGCTCAAAGGCAGATATCTGTGCGCAACGGAGGCAGCATGGCGCATGTTCGGATACAACACCTACGACAGATGGCCGCACGTCGTCTGCTTGCCCGTGCACCTGCCCGGACAACAATGGATTGTTTTCGCGGAAGGAGAGGAGGCCAATGCGCTTGAAGCCCACGTGTCACCACTTCAACGGTACTTCTACCGACCCGCGGGTCCACCATTCGACGCATTGGCCTACCACGAGTATTTTGAAACCTACATGACGTCCCCATCGTGCCCATCGCAGGCCGCTGCCGTGTTGGACCGCGCCCCTCCGCCAAAACAGTTCTTCGTGTACCCGGGGCTGCGTGGCGAGCCCCCGTTGTGCCGCCTCGAGATGAAGTTCCCGAAGCAAGGCGACGTCTTCTACCTCCGACACATCCTGCTGAACTTTCCCAAGGCGTCCTTTGCCGATTGCAGGACGCACAACGGCAAGGTGTATCCTACTTACGAGGAGACGCTACGGGCCACGGGCCAATTCGTCCGCGACGACGAAGCCCACGCCGTGCTCGACGAGCTCATTGCGCTCCGGTACACTGCAGCCCAACTTCGCTTCGCGTTCCTGGTTCTACTCGAACAAGATGCCGCCCCCGTGTCTCTCTACCGCAAGTACGAACGACCGCTTATGAAGGACTTCCTGGACCGAGGTCTCGGCGGTCTGCAGCACGCCGCTTCCACGCGCATCCGCTGGCCCCTGCTAGCCTTCCTTTTTCTCGGCACTCGTGCCGGTGCGATACTTGCCCGGCAACCACTCCCTCTACTCCCCCCCCGCCAGTAGGATCGCCTGCTCAGCGAGCCCGCACCGCGCTCGCTTGCCAGCACCGTCGTGGCCACTTTTTGTGCGCCAGAGGACCGATAAATGACCCTCGCCCCAACCCTCACTCCTCATCTCTCGCATGCGCGTTCCCAGAGCATCCCTCCGGACACCTTCAGAGGCAATCACGGCGCCCTGAAACGACAGAGACGAAAAAGTGTAACACACATTGAAGGAGAAACTTAGGACAGCTTCCGGGCTAATTCTTCCTGTCGTTAGTGATGGCACCCGCCCTTCTGTACCCTCGCACGCGCACGCCCACCCGCGCGCGCGCGTGCGCGCGCGCGCGCCCCCGTCGTCCTCGTGCCGGCGTGTCTTGCGATGGTCGTCCAGTTCTCGGCCCTGCGCACACTTCCTTGCGCAGCCCAACGGCCGCCTTCGGCCCACGCCTCACTCCCACCATGCACTATACCAAGACTTTCAAGCGAAGCGCAGCGAGCTTCAAGTCTTGTATATGTATGTATATATATATATATATGTCTGTTTCGGCACAGATCGCCAGGATAACAGGCCGAACAATATTACAGTATACGATGTACTATGACGTTTCTGCGCAGCCCCATGGAGGAGGGCCCATACACTTTGTAAGCACACAACTATATACACATGCGTGTGGATATATATATATATATATATATATATATACATATATATGTGTATATGTCTATATGTTTATAAACATATGTATATACACATCTGTATATGTGTGTGTATATATATAGGTGCGTGTGTGTGTGTGTGTGTGTGTGTGTGTGTGTGTGTGTGCGTAGCTTCCTTTTTTTGGCTCGAGCCGTCACGGCCCGGTCGCCTCGTTCGCAGGGCTGCTGTGCGAATTGCCTGCTTCGGCTGCACGTCAGCCCAGGCATACCCGCGCCCGCGTTTTGAACATTCACTACGGGAGATGTTTCCTCGGTTTCGACCTCCAGGGGCCCTCGCCGGGCCCCGGGACCGTCCAAAGCTGTCTGGGATGAATATCCGGCCCTGGGAAGAGTGCCGGGACTTCCAGGGACCACGTGTCGAACACGTCAATGCGTCGGATGCCTGGTAGAGTGACCCTTCGCAGGAGCGACCCGTTGTGCGGTCGCGCAGGATCTCCCAGCACTGGCCTGCGCGCTTGGACGTGACCCCGTCGCGGCCCCCGAAAGCCGCGCACGAAAGGTCGTCCCTGCCCAGGCTCGCTCTTGCGCTCTTGCGTGTAGGCGACTGCTGTAAAGTCTCAGGGCTTCCAGTGGGAGCTGGGTAAGTGGCTCTTCCTCCCTCTCCTGCTCCGCATTCTCCTTCGTCTCTTCCTCCTCATTCTCCCCCCTCCCTTCCCCTCACCCCCTCCGCCTTCTGATTTACCTCGCTTGCCACAGTCCCTGAGACAGCATACTCGCGGTAATGGAAGCATCAAGTTACATTCCGCTCACATTTTTTGAGCGACATTTCGCGGCGTCGTTGAAGCCCATCTATGCGGTAAGTTTCTACCTCGAATGCGCCGCTCCACCAGTTGACTTTCTTCGGCAGCGTGTTGCTGATATTGTGCAACTGAATCCATGGCTTGTGTCGAGCATGGTGGATCATCCAGAAGCGGGAATCGCTGATCAATTATGTTTTCCTTCAAACGGTCCATGGCCTGATTGTTTTCATGTGGTGACGTCGGGTTCTTGCGGTTTGAGCGCTCAGGCGCCATACGGGGAAATAGCGGAATGTGTTGTACATGCATGCGAAAACACTCGCGGACCTGCGGAGTTGTGCGCAGCTGGGTTTCGAGTGGTTATGGTCTCTGAGCTTGCTGCGGATGGTATTGCTCTTATCATGAAATTAAGCCACGTGTTCGGTGACGGCGCTACGTTTTATAAATTATTCAACATGATGTCCGTCGATGCAGTGGCAGTCTCGTTGCTCAGAAGCCCAATCGAGGAGTTCACATGTTGCGAAAAGGCTGCACTTGGTGCGGATGAGCAGTATTTCATGACAGCCGGAGATGTTTGTACTGGTTTTAGAGTGAACGAGAAAGCGTCAGCGAGTGTACATGCTTTCGCGATTGACATGGAGGCTGTTGCGTGTGCGAAGTCGTGTGCCCTTGGCGCCCATCCCGAGGTTAACGCACTGTCGTCAAATGATATAATCACCGCAGCGTTCTTGCAAGCATCGCAGTGCAGTTGGGCAGTGATGCCTGTAGATCTTCGTCATCGCCTGGAGTGTTTACGGGGTCTTCAGTCTTTTCTTGCTGGCAACTACGCGAACGAGATTGTTCTTTTACCGACGGATTTCTCTTCACCAGTGGGCATCCGCAGCGTTGTAGAGAGTTTGCGAAGAGGAAAGTCTACGCCACTCCCGAGCATCGAGATGCAGCAGAGCGGTGACGTTTCGTGTGTCACCAACGTGGGGACTTTTGCAGCAGAGCGCGGCGTGCAGCTTCCAGGGTGCACGCTTTCACTTCATTTGCCAATGAGGCCGCTTCCGCTAATTTGGCGAGATATTGCATACATCTTTCGTCCACGTCCTCACACTTTGGGGATCATCTGTGCCGGGCACGGATTGAGCTGCAGCGAGACAAGCTTGCGACAGAGCGCCATCGGGAAGTTTCTCGGGCCACGCCTTTGAAGTGGCAAGGTCCGTATGGTCACTCACAATCAGTGAAAAGCGTGGGTGATTGCGGAAGTCTCAGCAGCTGCCCCTGATCTTTGGGATGCTTGGATCGAGTGTTTTAGGTACCGCCTTGATTTCGGTCAGACCTGGACACCCGGCGAGGCCAGAAACTCTCGTGTTGCATTGCTGTGCCCCTCCGGACAGCCTTGGCTTCGAGAATCGCGCCCTAACGTAACAAAGAAGACATCGGCACCGCGGCGGCGGCGAATCTCCCAGACCATGGACAGGCGCAGTAGTTTCTGCGCCCAGCGAAGACAAGTGCGCAAGCGACCGAAACCGACTCCCTGCAAGCATGTTTCCCGCATGCACGTCCTTTTGAAGCACCGCCTTTGAAGGAGGGAAGGGATGGATGCGGATAAGGGGGCGTGGAGGGTGGTGGTGGAGATCAAACTCGCTCGTAAATCTGAAGCGCAGAGCAGAGCGAGCGGTCATTCGGATCGAAACGTGCGTCAACCGCGTGTCGGTCTACCGCGTGTCGGCCTCCGCTCTTTCGCCTACCTCTACTTGTCAGCACCAGTGTAAAGAAGCGAACGAGACGTGCAGTTCTCGGGGCTGAGCCTTTCCTTTCCTCTCTGAAGCAGTTTGCTGATCCCCAGGTGCGGACGACTGTGGCCACCTAGGCGCCGACAGCCACTTGATTGCGGGATGGCAGAGATGGCAGTAGAGGAGGAGAGAGAGAGAGAGAGAGGGAGAGAGAGAGGGAGAGAGAGAGAGAGAGAGAGACAGAGAGAGTGAGAGAGAGAGAGAGAGAGAGAGAGTGAGAGAGAGAGAATAAGAGAGAGAGAGAGAGAGACAGGGACGGATATATATATATAGAGAGAGAGAGAGAGAGAGAGAGAGAGAGAGAGAGAGAGAGAGAGAGAGAGAGAGAGAGAGAGAGAGAGAGAGAGAGAGAGAGAGAGACGAAGGGAGGGAGGGAGGGAGAGAGAGAAATAGAGAGAGAGAGAGACCAAAAAAGAGAGAGCGAGAGAGACAGAGAGAGAGAGAGAGAGAGAGCAAGAGAGAGAGAGAGAGGGAGCAAGCCCAAGGGAGGGAGCAAGCCCTTCACCGTTGCGCCGCCGGGCCCCGTCGCGGAACCCCCTCACCGTTGCGCCGTAGGGCTCTCTGTAGAGAGATGGGATGGCAATGGATCAGCGGTGGAGGATATCGCGGACGGCGCTCTTTCCGGCTGGCGGTGCTGGGACGAGTGGTCTTGCCCGCATTGCGGCATGGGCAATTGGATGAGCCGCCAGACTTGTCGTGACTGTGCAGATCATGGCCAGAACGTGCAGGAGCCGCCGGAGACCGCGGTGTTGGGCGATTCCCGCAAGCAGGCGGCGGCCAAGGTCACGATCCTAAAGGAAGCGCTCGCCGTGCCCTGGGCACGGACCCTCTTCTTGCCGAGGCCCGCAAGAACATCGAGAGGGCCTGGAGAAGCAGAAGAAGGCCTCGAAGGACAGCAGGAGTGCGGCTACCAAGCTCGAGCAGAAGAAGGGTTGGATCGAGCGGGAGACGAAGAGGATCGAGGTCGAGACCAAGAAGCTGGAGACGGGTGAAGATCGATGAGGTCGCAGCGTTTCGCCGCATCATCGCCGAGGGCGAGGAGGAGGAGCCGGAACAGAAGGACATGCAGGTGGACGAGGACGGCATCACCGTGGGCCCAGAGATGTCGGAAGAGAAGTTGCGCGAGTTCGTCGAGAAGGCGGACACCCTTGCCGTAGACATCGACGCCGAGCGGCAGAAGCTCGAGAAGGCGGCCGCGGCCCTGAGGGAAAATAGTAAAACGTCTTCCGGGAATGCGCAAACGTCGCATTGTCAAGGGACTGGGGAACCAGCCCAAACATTGACGGCTATGTCGTGGAATGTGGCGGGGCTGGCGGAAGCGCAGATCGAGCCATGGCTGCAGCAGCTCTCGCTCGATCGTTGGGATGTTCTGCTGTTGCAAGAGAGTTTCACGAAGCTGGAGGGTGTCGACACGGGGGTGCATGTGCTCTTCACCCCACTGGTACTTTGTGGAGGACTTCGGTGCCCAGCTGTCTTGGTCCACAGGCGGCTGGCCAGGGATGTGCGAACACTGGGAGGGGGAGGTCGTTGGGTCGCGGTGTAGTTCAAGGGGACGTCGATCTTCATCTCAGCGCACCTCTCTCACAAGCGAGACAAATCCGAGAAGTCCAGCGAGGTCTTGCAAGACATTCAAGATTTTCTAAATTTGCACCCCAAGCATCAGGTGATCTGTGGGGGGGATTTCAATGCCAAGCTCAAAGGCACCACCGACTATTACCACGTCGGGGAGCAGATGCCACAGGGTGTTTTGACAGCGGGGGAGTAGGCCAGGGCGCAGGCGGTGCAGGCGTTCGTGGCCGAGACGGGCATGATCGTGGCGAATACCTGGATGGAGGCGCAGGAGGAGTCGGAGCTCTTCACACGCCGCAACTGGGACGACTCAGGAGGGGCTCAGATCGATTTCGTTATGGCTTCGAGTACTGTGCGCATGGAGTCAGTGTGGGTGCAGGAGCAGAGATGGTTCGCTTCGGACCACGCTTCTGTATTTTGCACATGGAAGCAGCAGTAAGGAGCGGATGGCGTCATCAAACCCCAGCGCCCCCGTTGCATCAAGAACTGGAGGCCGGGTTCCATTTAGGCCGAGGCGGTGGCGGATAACGTGACGCAGTGGCACGACTGGGAGACGACGGCGACGGCTCTCGGAAAAATTGCAACGGATCACCAACAGAAGGTCCCGAAGGCGGAGGACCTCGAGTTGATGGCCCTGCTTTGGCTACGCGAGGAGAAGAGCGGGAGCACGCAGGAGCTAAACAAGATCAGCCGCAGCATCTGGCGCCGGAGGCGGGCGCTCCGGCGAGAGAAGCATCTGGAACGCTTCGAAGCGGGCGCGGAGGCTGGCAGGGCGCCCAGAGCCTCGCCAGCGAAGCGTTACAACAGGACGAAGACCTCTGGGGCCCGGGACCCAAAGTCCATGTTCGCGGAGTTCTACTCGGATTTGTACGGGCTACCCGAGGACGAGCGGCAGCACGTGAAGGAAGGGATGGAACATTGGATGCGTGTGTGGTTAGACCTGCACTGGGACGCGCGCAACCCATGGGTCACCCGGGCAAATCTGGACACAGCGTCGTCGAAGCTCAAAGGGGGGAAGAGCAGTCCAGACGGCATCATTGCGGAGGTCCTCAAGGCATTGCCAGCCGAGTGCAAAGACGAGCTGAGGACAAACCTGCTTCGCAGATGGAGGACACTAGAGTCTCCACGGAATGGACAAGATCGATGACGACATTGGCGCCCAAGTTGATTGGTGCGACCACCTTGGCCAAGTTCAGACCTATCGCAGGCTTGTGTGCGATGCGCAAGCTGCTCGGCTAGATTTGGATGCCGTCGCTGCCAGTGCTGACTTTCGTATCGGTGCAGACAGCGTTCATACCTGGCAGACACGCGGATACCGGAGTCTTCATGTTGAACAGAGCGGCGGAGCTGGCCAGAGAATCTCGGCAGCCTCTGATCACGGCACAACTCGACCTGAAGAAGGCCTTCGACCATGTCGATCATCGTGCCGCTTTCAAGGCCATGGAACTCCAAAGGATAGGGCTCCCCGAGATCGCGCTGATTGCGGCGATCTAGCACCAAAGTTCCGTGCAGGTCAATCTTGGGCACGTCGCTTCGGACGAGATCGGGGTGGGCGGGGGCCTCCCGCAAGGCGCGCCGGAGTTTCCGCTGATCTTCATGATGATCATGGAGATGGTGATCCGGAAGCTGAAGCCCCATTGGAAGGCTCAGGGCAAGGGTTTCGGCATGGACGGCTTCTTCCTGTCCGGCGTCTGCTACGCGGACGACATTGTGCTCGCGGCGACGTCCATGAAGCACATGGAGGAGATGATCGCGGATGTGGTGGCCGAGCTCAAGGTGATTGGTCTTGGCGTAGGGCCTGAGAAGACGCACTGGACCAGCACCCGGCCCAGAGCCGGCCAGCAGCTGCACGTGATGGGCGAGACGGTGGGTTGGGAGGACAGCCTCACCTTTGTGGGCACGGTGATCGACCTCAAGGGTACATCTGGCCCGGCAATCACATACCGGGAAGCTCAGGCAAACAAGGTTTTCCCCAAGCGGAGGTCGATTTAACTTGTGGCTGGATTCCGAAACGGCGCCGCATGGGGCTGCTCCCGAAGACGGTCCGGGCAGCGTTTCTCTGGAGCTCGAGCACCTGGACGCCGACGCAGAGCCATTGGAATCATATCGCAAGCTGGAGCGCAAGGCAAGCGGCCAAGGTGCTGAAACTCCGCAGGGCGCCGTGGCAGTCGATCGATCAGTGGTGGCGGCTCTTCCACAAGATGGGGCACAGGGCGATTGACAGGTATCGCGTCGATCTCGTGCAGCAGTGCCGCCAGAGAATCCACAGCTGGGCGGGTCATGTTGTTAGGCTGCCGCCGGACGAGCCTGCCGCTAGGTCTCTCCGCTGCCGCGGCATGCAGTGATGGAGGTGGCGGCAGGCGCAGCACGCAGCCACGAAAGACAAATGGCCTGGGCCGCATCCCCAGTGCTTCAAGATCAGGCGCTGGGAAAAGCATATCTCGGAAGTCTACGGCGAAGGCCTCCTTGAGGACGTCTGCGCGAACGCCGGCTGGCTCGCCAGGGCGTTCGATCTGGCGGGCTAGAAGAAGCTCGGTGTGACAAACTGACCCAGGGCCGGCGGCCGGCGGCGAGGTCAGAAGACAGGGGGGTTGGCGCAGCCCCGCTCGGGGCTTTCGGCAGGCGTCCGAGGAAGAGAGAGAGAGAGAGAGAGAAGGAGGGAGAGAGAGAGAGAGAGAGAGAGAGAGAACGAGGAGGAGGGAGAGGGAGAGGGGGGAGGCGGAAGAGGATGAGGTGGAGGAGGACAAGGGTGAGGATCACGATCGTTTGGATGAAGATTTTGACGAGGATGATTGGGGACATCTGCGATGATACGGGTGATGATGAGGAGGGTAAGGATGTTGATGATGAGGATTCTGATGGTGATGATGATGATGTTGGTGATGGTGATGGTGAGGGTGATCCTGGTGATGATTGTGGGTATGATGATGCTACTGAGGATGCTGATGGTGATAATTATGATGCGGCTGCTGATGCTGATGCGGATTGTGATGCTGATGATTGTGATGATGATGGTACGATGAAGCTGGTGATCATGACGATGATGCTGATGATGCAGCTGATGATGATGATGACGGCCAGGATGATGCTGATATTGGTGATGCTGCTTGTCATCGTGGTGATGATGACGATGCTGATGGTGATGATGATGGTGATGATGCTGATGCTGCTGATGATGGCCATGGTGACGATGATGATGACAATGATGCTGGTGATGGTGATGCTGATGGTGATGGTGATGCTGGTGATGCTGATGATGATGATTGTGGTGATTGTGGTGGTGATGATGATGCTGCTGAAGATGATGCTGATGATGATGATGCTGATGATGCTGTTGTTGTTGATGATGATGACGATGATGATGATGATGATGATGATGATGATGATGATGATGATGATGATGATGATGATGATGATGATGGTGATGATGATGATGATGATGATGGTGATGATGATGATGATGATGATGATGATGATGATGATGACTGCTGCCGCTCTCAGGTGCAGAAGGCCCACTCTTGTTCTCGTGGAGGCTTTTCGAGCAAGTGCAAGATCCTGGGTGATCACGGGGGGCGGGGCCTGGGGCGAGCAGTCTGGACGTAGCGTTTGCCTCACCGCCATCCTTCTCCTCCTCCTCCTCCTCCTCCTCCTCCTCCTCCTCCTCTCTCCTCTCTCCTCTCTCCGCCCCCCTGTCTCTCATTCCTGGTACCTGGAGCTGCGGCTCGGCATCCCGGCGGGCGTGGGCGCCGTGAGGAGGCCAGGCACATCCTTATTAGTTTTGCGGATCTGTTCAGTATCTTTGCATCGCAAGCGTTGCACGGGCTTGATGCATTGACTACCGATCCTTGCGCAGCTGCTCTCGCTCATTCCGCCTCGCACCGCCTTCTCGCAGCCTCTCCCTCGCTCTTCGATGTTGCGTCCTCCTCGTCGCCCCCTCCTCCTCCTCCTCCTCCTCCTCCTTCCCTCCTCTCCCTCTTCCCTCCTCCTCCTCCTTCCTCTCCCTCCTCTCCATCTTCCTCCAACTCGTCCTCTTTCTCCGCCTTCCTCCCCCTGCCTCCTCCTGCTCCTCCTCTTCCTCCTCTTCCTCCTCTTCCTCCTCGTCCTCTTCCTCCTTGTTCTCCTCCTCTGCCTCCTTCTCATCCTCTTTCTGCTTCCTCTCCTCTCCCTCCCTCCTCCTCACTCATCATCACCACCTCTTCCTCCTCCGCCTCCTCCTCCTCCCATGGCTGCTCGCTGCGTGCATTCCTCTTCCTCACCGCCGCAAGCAGGAGTGGGCGACGATCTGCAGTTTCTCTCAGAACACCTGCTCAGTGCAAGCTCGGGACAGATGGGCCGGCGACGCGCGGGCTTGTGTGCCGGAGCCCGCCGTGTGCCAGGGGTGCTGAGCCGCCACACCAGCGCGAACGACTGCACGTTCTGATCTCCTCGGCACTCCCTTGGCGTCATTCCTGGACATGCGAACATATTTCGTGGTCTTCCTCCTCCCTCGTTTCTCCTGCAGTCTTGGTGCTCTCTTTCGCCGTCTCTTCCTTTCCCTCTGTAGCTTCATGCATCGCATGGACCATGCGATGATGCAAATTGGCATCTTCCTTCTCTTCTGTAGCTTCATGCACCGGTGGCGCCGCGGCACGCTGCCATCTGCCGAGTTGCATTGTGCCTGTACGTGAGGCTTGCGCGCAGGTGCCCCAGGATTTACTAGGAGGCCCCCAGGGCCTCCGGAGCACCCCTCACGAGGCCCAGTGGGCCTCAGGGGCTTCAACATGGAGCGAAAAGCTGTGGGCATCTTGGGCTGGGAGCACTTCTAGCAACACGCGAATGAAGCTCGTACTCCTCCGCCTCCCAAGCGAGCGGTCTGGGGCCGAAGAGGCCCTGGAGCTCGGCCCCGTGGCGCTGCTCCTCCTGCTGGTGGGAGCTCGCGGCAGGTCTGCGGAGCCAGGCCGCGTGTGCGCGCCGCGGCGGTGCGCGCACCCTGTCATGGCCCTGCGGCAAATCACGAGCTCCACCCCTTCGGGATCAATCGACGCTGGGGTGTCGGACCCCCCAGCGGGGCTTTTACTTTGGCCGCAGGCGTCCTCCCAACTCAGAGCACTGGCCGGCGTTTCAGTTTCAGGGATCTGGCCTGCAGGGGCTGGGTGCACGTGCGGATGCCTGCTTTTGGCATCTCTTCAATCTGTGCTTCCGCCCCACCGCCTCGGTCGGTTGATTGTCGAGGAAATCCGGTCGTCTTACTGCAGGGCCTCCGTAGGTCCGCATCCGTTCTGGCTCAGGACTTTTGGCTCAGGCACTCTGCCTCGCGCGGCTCTGGCTCAATCCGTCTTTGTAGGTGGTAACCAGTGAAGGCTTAGAGTCATGGCATGCTCATGAAGTTTGACGCCTTTCAGTTTCATGTCTCGGTCGTGATGTTGTTCTTCTTCGTCGTCGGTGAGGCAGCGCATGTTCCTCCAAAGTGCACAAGCGCTTCCAGGGATACCGATGTGGCATGTGATTCGTCCATTGCACAGGCGGCGTGTTATGCGAATTCCAGCGAGACGTGCAAGTGGTGCAGTGGTGTTTGCCGTGCGATAGATGTGACTGTCCAGCGGAGTGTCAATTTTGACGGTTTCACACGAGAGAGCGCCGATCGTGTCTACACGCGTTGGGATGACACCATTGATGTGCAACGTGGTGATTATTGGTCAGGACATCATGAAGTCGCTGACTTGGCTGACCACAAGCGTCCGAACGTGCCCTTTTTAGGTTGTGTTGCGGCGATGGCAGTGGCACTGTGACAATGCTGCAATTCTTTTTACTGGTGCAGTTTGATGGCTGCCGCTGCACACTTGCAGCTGCAAGAGCCGAGCAAACACGTAGTGATGCGTGGGAAGGGGGCCAGAGGCGCACAGCTTTTTGTAGAGGTGTTATCCATGGCAGGGTGCTCGGCATGTGCTGATCCACTGCTCAGGGAGGACAGCGCGTGCCATCATATCGAGGCGACCTGACACGGCCGTTGGATTCCTCGTCAGTCCGCTTTAGGCCGGGTGCCCATCGAGCTTCTTTTTTTACATAGAACAAAAAACTACATATATATAATATACATAAACAACATCAGTTTTCCAGGAGCCTCTGCTGCCCAGGCACGTGGCCCAGAGGGTTGGTGTCAGGGGAGGATACTTGCGCCATGGCATTGGGATCCTTCTCTTCTCGACTCCCTCACTCCCCACCTGACTTCCCCTCCCCATTCGTTAGCGCAGTCTCCTCCACGCAAGCATTGGTGCGGGAGGAATTGTGTACGGGCGAGGATGTTGGATGGAGGGGGGAGGCAGGGAGACCGAGGCCTGTAGTTTCGAGGAGGCTTCCAGAAGACGTTCGATGCTCAAAATCGCGTCACTGCCAGACCTCTTGGGCCACCACTCCAATTTGCTTGCCATGTGCTTGTCCTCGCCTGGTCGCAGAGAGGCATACTACAGTACATACAGCTTGTTTGCCTTCGGCCTCCTCTCCTCCCTCCTCTGCCTTCTTCTTCTCCTCGTCTCACCCTCGTGTCTTTCTTCTTTCTCCTCGCCCCCTCCTCCCGATCGGGCCCCACATCTCTTACAGTATTTGTCAGGAAACCGCATGTTTTTCAGAAGCCATGTGCGAGTGGACGCATCGCAACCAGCCCCCCCCGGGCATCCCAACGCGATGTTGGCATCTGGGGCGCAATCGATCCGACCCGCGGGTTGGACCCGCGATCCCGATGCGACTTGATTCGGTTCGACTCACCAGCATCGGCCGAGGCCTGCCAGAGCCAGGCGCGGCGATGCGATTCGGGACGATCTGCTACCCAGACATGCGATGTCTGGATTTTTTCACTACGGTCCCGCGTCGGTTTTGACGGTCACGAGGGTCTCCCGGGACCCCCTTCCGACCCCTCCCCCTGGGATCCTTCCCCCTCCCCGGGTGGGGAAGGGCTAACGGGGCTCCCCTTCGGTTCAATTGCACATTTGATTGCGACCTGGCTCGATTCACCTCGAATTGACGAGCTTGGCGCGCCAAAGAGGATGATGAGCTTGGCGCGCGGAAGAGAACGCCAAAGGGTGCTCCGAAGACGACGAACTCAGAACTCCCCCTCACACACGTCGACAGGGTCGGCGGATGTTCCTTCTCCTCTTCGTCTTCTCCTCCTCCTGCCCCGAGTGCGAGAAGAGGGGTGCCAAGCTGGCGCGCAAAGCTCGACATGGGCAGGGGAGGTTCTGGTTCGGCGAGTTCTGCCATGCCCTGGACGGGGATGGACGGGCAGTTCGAGGAAGCGATGGAGGAGGAGGAGGAGGAGGAGGAGGAGGAGGAGGAGGAGGAGAATGAGGAGGAAGAGGATAATGATGATGATGAGGAGGAGGATGGCGATGATGATGATTATTATGTTGATGATCCTGATGCTGATGCTGATGCTGCTGATGATGATGATGACGACGATGATGATGATGATGATGATGATGATGATGATGATGAGGATGATGACCATGCTGATGATGCTGCTGATGATGGTGATGATGCTGATGACGATGATGACGGCAGTGATGATGATGCTGATGACGATGATGGTGATGTTGCTGATGATGATGCTGACGATGCTGATGCTGATGATGGTGATGCGAGTGTTGATGATGATGCTGATGGTGATGATGATGTCGATGCTGATGAGGACGATCATGATGATGCTGATGATGATGGTGATGACGATGCTTATTATTGTGATGCTGATGCTGCTGATGCTGACGATGTTACTAATGATGCTGATCATGCTGATGATGATTATGATAATGCTGGTGATGATGCGGCTGACGATGCTGCTGATGACTATGATGATGTTGATGATGATGCTGCTTATGCTGATGCTGATGCTGTTGTTGATGCTGATGCTGCTGATGATGATGATGCTGCTGATAGGATGACTGGGGATGAATGGGGATGATGGGGATGATGGTGAGGATGATGATGATGATGATGATGATGATGATGATGATGATGATGACGATCAGCGGGAGGATGAGGACGACGATGGGGATGAAGACCCTTGACAACTCAAGACTCATCAACGATTTTGGAATGCGTGCACTTTTTTTCCAAGCTCCCTCTTCATAGTCCCCATACACGGGTTCATAACCATTGAGGGAAGTGCGCCGTTGGGCGACAAACACTAGTGGAAATCCTGAATCGTGCCACGGCACCATTCTCAGGGTTTCAACGCCACATGTCAATCTAACTGTTACGTCTTGGCGACCCTGAGTCGTGCCAGAACGCCACCTCTGGGACTTCAGCACAGCGAATCAACGTAATTGTTGCGGCCTGGCAGTCCTGACCCGTTCCAAGACATCGTGCCTGGTATTCAAACCACGAGAATCGTGACTCGCTCGTAAGTTTTTGAAACGAATGTGCGCGGCGCTAAGGCGAGAGTCACATTGTGAAAAGGAGCCGCCCTCACTCCGTGATACTCCTTGCAACGGTTTAAGACGATTGTGCGCGGCGCTGAGGTTGGAACCAGATTTTGAAGACCACACGCCCTCCACCCGTTTTTTTATGTTTTTTTTTTTTTTTTTTTTTTTTTTTTTTTTTTTTTTTTTTTTTTTTTTTTTTTTTTTTTTTTTTTTTTTTTTTTTTTTTTTTATGTTTTTTTTGTTATGTTTCTTCTTTCTTGCGTTTCTTATGACGAAGGTGCGCGGCGCCACGGCGAGGACCACATTTTAAAACTACCACCCTCAGTCCGCCAAGATCTTGCACAAGTTCAAAGTGAATGTGCGCAGCGCCAAGGCGAGAGCAGCATGCTGAAACAACCCGTGCAGTTATTTCAAATTCGAAACACGAATGTGCGTGACGCTAAGAACAGATCCACAGCATGGAAACGACCCGTCCTCTATCTGTGAAGCTGCTGCCAGTTTCGAAGCTTCAGGCTCATACGTGGCACGGAAATCTCAGGCGAAACGCTCGGCCAGCCTTTCCGATTGGACTCAGGGTGCGGCAGGGAGGGTCTATTCACAATGAAAAGGGATTGATGAGTTATGAGCGCGTGGCTGCCGAAAGACAAGCAACGCCTACGTGGGTACAGGCGGGGAGCAGACCACACTGGCGCGCAGCAGCAGCTTGGACCTCGCAGCGCGCTGCGGCGAGGGTTGCGCACCCCGCCGCGTGCCGCAACACCTGCGAGTGAGACAGGAGCGACCTGTCCCAGGCACTGCGGGCCCGAGGAGGAATGAACACGACATGTCGGGGACGGTTATCCTGATAATAATGGTCATGCTGATGCTGATGATGACGGTGATGTGGATTCTGGCAACGATGCTGATGATGATGCTGATGATGATCAAAACCATGCTTTCCGTGGAGATGATGGCGATGCTGGTGATGTTGTTTCTGCTTCTGGTGAGGGGTGTGCTGATGACCAATGTTGATCATGGTGCTGATGATGCTGATGGTGCTGACGACGAGGATGCGGAGAATGAGGAGCAGGAGCAGGAGAAGGAGAGGAGGACAACGTGAAGGATGACAGGGAGGGGCAGGATGTCTTGGAGAAAGTAGGAACAGACTCAGGAGTGAGACCAGCGAGAAGAGGAAAAAGGAAGGAGGAAGATGCGGAGGAGGATGCGGAGGAGGATGCGGAGAAGGAGGCGGAGGAGGAGGGGGGACATAATAGATCAAGCGGGAGTCTTTGATTGAAGGAGATACGGGGGCAGGAGCGAGGACTGAGGCGGAGAGGAGGCGAGGGGAGGCGCTGTGCTTGCACGGAAAGGTGAACAGAACGAGCGATGCCTGCAAGCCTGGACCACGCAGGCTCTGCTGGTCGAGGCTGGCCAGCGTGTGGATGCAGAGCTTGCGCGCCCGTCTTTGCAAGCAGGTACCTTTGGACCCCCAGATCGCCATCTGCTTCAAGCGCCTCCCTACTGCAAGACTCGGCATGGTTTCGTTGTTTTCTTGCGGTTCTCTGGGCAGGCCCGAACCTCATCTGCTCTAGCCGCCTTCCTGCTTCATGCTCCGACCTGCTTCGTCAGGCTGGCGGGTGATGCTGGACTCCCGCGACGCATCACTCGATCCACCGGAGGTAGCCTCGGACCCACCCATCCTCGCAAGGCGGAGGTCGACCCGCAGCTGGGAAATGAGAGGTATACCTTGGCTGTGAATTTCCGTTGCTGTGTTATCTCAGGAAGGGCAAGAACAGACAGAAACCACTGTCGATTCCCAGGGAACTGTGGTGGAGAATATGGGAGCTGGGAGGGAAGAGGAAAATCCAGAGGATATGTAAGAGTATTGGGGAGCCTGTGATTTGTGTCAATTTATGTGTGTGCCCCAGGGGCCCCTTCATTATTGCTGCCACGGGCACAGGCGTGTGTGAAGCAGGCAGGTGCAGCCAGCGCCGCAGCAAGTCGATTGCCCTCTTAGCAGGCGCCCCTTCTGGAAATCTCGCAACTTGTCGATTCTGATCCACATTGCCAATGCAGTCACAGGGTAGCGTTTGGGTATAGGTGCTGATGCTCCTCCTCCGGTAACCTCTGCGGTTCCCCCGCAGCAAATTACAATATTGAAAGTGTCCCCCCCAACAACGTCCAGGGACAGCCGGAAGCCTCAAGGGACCGCCCTGAACTTCCCCTTCCTCCTTCCCCCTCCTCCCATCTCCTCCCCCCGCCTCACCCTCCTCCTATTCTTCGTCCTCTGTCTCGCGTTGGATGTGCAGGTGATGAAGCCGAAGCCGAGGGGAGACCCCTAATGAGCTTTCGTCGCCCTGACCCTGACTGCCTTGCCCTCGTGGCCAGGGTGCTCTGCGGTCCCCTGTGCAAGTCCTTGAAGGCCGCCCCGTGCGTCTCCCCAGCCACACCCAGAGCAAGGGGGCCCAGGGGATACTGTGGCTGCTATAGGCGCGGGGATGACGAGGAGGAGGAAGAGGAGGAGGAGGAGGAAGAGGAGGAGGAGGAGGAAGAGGAGGAAGAGGGACGAGTAGGAGGAGGCGGGGGGCGCGCCAGGCGCACAAGGCGGTCGGCGCTGGCCACCTGGGGAGCTCGCACACGATGGCAATGCAGGTGCCCGGGCGCGCGGCTACTCCTCATCGTCGTCGTCGTCATCGTCGTCGTCGTCGTGGTCGGCTACAGCTACCGCTGCTGCGTGCTGGGGCCCAAGCTTCCGCGGCCAGAGCTCAGCGAGAGTCAAGGCCGTAGACATGCTTGTTCGTCTCGAGCGCAAGTCTGCATGACTCTCTTTCGGGCAGGATCCAGCCTCCTCTACCCTTCCTCCCTGGTGGCTCCCCCTGCTCTATCCTCCTCCCTCGCCACCTCCGCCTCTCTTCCTCTTCATCCTCCCTCTCCTCGTCCTCGTCCCCCTCCCTCTGTACCTCTGCCTCCCCCGCCCCCTGCTCCTCCGCCTCACCCTGCTGATCTCTACTGCTACTGCTGCTCTTCCTCGTCCTCCTTCTCCTCCTCCTCCCCTTCATCCTCCTCAGGTCCTCTTCCTGATGAATCTGCCGTCCGTGTCGCGTCTCCAGACGTATCGTCAGGGCGGCCAGACATTTCGACTGAGATTTTCTCACCGTTACAATTTTGAAGCCTGACATTCCAATCGGCTGCATTCACGGAGGGCAGGCCGTTTTCAAGATGGTGTTTCGCTCTGTTGCCTTGCGTGCTCGTCGTAAGCAAATGTAGCAGTTGCACGGATGAAGGGCGACTCCTGTTTCAAAGTCGGGCTCTCGCCTTGGCGCCGTGCACGCTCGTCTTAAGCATGTCTAACTGGGGCACGTGACGGGTGGAGGATGGCTCCTTTTCAACATGAGGCCCGCGCCTGAGACTTTCTCAGCGCTATGACCGAAATCGATATTCTCGTCGGTCGTTGAACGTAGGAATCTTTGGGCTCCCAGACCCCGATCTACTTCAAGCGCCTTCCTACATAAAAAACCTAAGTGTCTTTGCTGTGGTGAGCTATTATTTGAGCGGGGCCCACTCCAATCTACTATACCCTTCTTCCTACATCTTCCGACTGGCGTGTAACAGCGTGTAACAGATGCACGGATGGAGGGCCCTCCTTTTAAGCATTGGGCTCTCGCTTCAGACGCCGTTGCGTTCCACGATGTCCGAGCTCGTGCAGCAGTCGCACGCGTGGAGAGCCGTGCCTTTTCGGAGTGGGGATGCCGTTTGGGTACTTTCTTGAACTCTACGGCTCCAACGGCGACAACGACGACGAGGATCCTGCTGATGATGATGGTGATGATTATGATGCTGATGGTGCTGATGATGATGATGATGATGATGATGATGATGATGATGATGATGATGATGATGATGATGACGGTAGTGATAAGAAAGACGATGAATAATACGAAGGGAAATATGATGATGCTATTGCTGGTGATGATTCTGATGATGATGATGGCGGTGGTGATGATGATGACGAGGAGGATGGGCTGGCGTATTTGGGGTTCCTGGCTCAACGCATCTGGGCGCTGGATCGCCGACGCATCGTCGACGCGTCTCCTGCCTCATTCCTCTTCCTGTGAAAACACGCGAGGACGATGGCTAAATACTTGGGCCAATAAGAACAATTTGGTGACTAGGAATATCATGTTTCAGGAACAATCGCAAATGATCTATCCACATACTACCACTGCAAACATGGGGCAAGGTAGCTGGACTACATACTCGTGTCGAGGGGGTTGTGGCTTACAACAAACGACTGTTGCACTACAGCCGCAGTGGACATGGGATCAGATCACGTCGCATTGACATTGCCAAGTTCCATCTTACAGCAGCCGCGCAGTATTATGAGGAAGGCAAAGCCTCTTCACGAAATACACTCGCGAAGGTGCGGAAATGGCTGCCGGTTTCCTTGACCGGGTACCGGGACACTCTGGAAGAGTTCATATCCGCATCAGCTTTCTCACACAACGTGGAGCAGCAGTCCTCCATGATTGAATGTTCGATCCGAGAGTCTATGGAGGTGACGGCGCGCCCCCGACAAGCAAGAACCAGTGAACAAGATTATGCGGATCCAATTCTTGCCCAAGATCTGGAAGCTCGTAGGGCTATGCCGAAGTGTTGTACCCAGGATCGCAGGGACGTTAGCAAGAAGATCCCAAAGCACACTGCAACAACACAGCGAGCACAACATTCCCTGAACATTTCTAACACATAGGAAAGTTTCAAAGGCCTCAAGCAGAATAGCAATATCAAGAGCAGCAACGAGAAACGAGCACTCACCTCTTCGATACATACCTCCAGTGGGAAGCTGACTTACGACGGGCTGGAGATGGCAAATGAGTTCGCTGTTTTTAATACGCGTTTGTATGCGCGCCGGGATGGAGAGAAGTTGCCTGATGTACGGGGACAGTCGCAAGCAGGCGAACCAACGTGTGAGTCGATTATGCCTTCTGCTATGGAGGAGTTGAAGACCGGGCTCAGACAATTGAGAAATGGCAGGGCGGCAGACATTATTGTCATAGTCGCGGAGATGTTGAAGAACGGTGGTTTTGGGTTAAGACGCGCATTGCTACGTGTTCACAATGATGCTACCAAGCCGGGGGCGTGTACACCGTCGGCATGGAAACTTACACTGTTGAGAGTGTTGTTCAAATCAGGGGACCCAGAGTTGTTTCAAAACTTGCAGCACAGAAGCACTCCTTCCCTAATCCGTATGTCGTATGATACGAGTACGTTTCCAGGAAAGCGGCTCGGGAGTTTCTATCGGGCTTTTGATCGTCTGATGCATCCGCAACCGTTCTGGCTCCAGCGCCCTGAGGTGGAAAGATCATCGAGGATGTAGGCCCTGCGGGGCACAGTTCGATCTCGGCACGCTATTGCGATTCCGCGGATGGTAGCGGAGCGTGGCCGAAGGCGGATTACTTTCTTGGCTTGTGATCCTCGGTCACGCTGCCGCGGCGGGCGCCGCGGCGATGGAGGCCCTCGCAGAGCGCGTTCGGCTCACCGGGGGCGGGGTGACGCGACACCGTCAGGTGCTCGCAGAGAATGAGAGCCTGAGGCTCAGGCTGGACACGGCTGAGCAGCGTCTGGCCATGGGCGAGCAGCGAGCAGGAGAGCAAGGTCTTGGCGCAGCAGCAGCAGCAGCCGCAGGTCACGGCGGAGGCCAGATGGTCGACGCTAGTCTGCTGAACAAGCCGCGCACGTTCATGGGCCTGCACTCATAGTGGAAGACGTGGTCGTTCGATTTCGAGGCCTGCGTGTTTGCGGATCACCCCGGCTGGGGGATCTACTCAACCAGGCATCGAGGACGGCCGACGTACTGACGGCGCAGAGCGAGCTGGACGCCACGCTGAACACTCAGCTGTGGTACATCCGGGTCTCGGTGACCGCGGATGTGGCTAAGGTCGAAGTCAGGGAGGCTCCGCGAGGCGACGGGCTCCCGGCATGGTGGCGCCTGCTCTGGGAGTTCGCGCCGAAGGAGGCGAACCGCTTCGCGGCTATGCTGGGCCGCGTCGTTTGGTATGAGTTCGCCGACCCTGTGATGACGAACGTGGCGGAGTTCGAGCAGCTGGTGCGGGAGTGCACCAGCCAGAGTGGCGACGTGATCTCAGACAACATGAAACGTGGGGTGATCATGTCGGGCGTCAAGAACGAGATGCTGGCAGACCACCTCAGCCTGAACGCGTCGCGCCTGGGGGCGCGCGAGGAGCTGTGGCAGGAGCTGAAGACGATCTGCTCAGCGCAGGGCGCTCGAAGGACAAGGGCCGATCGACCCGCAACTGCCGCTGCCATGGGAAGGCGGGCCACCTCGCGGCGGACTGCCGCATGAGAAAGGCCGACGAGAAAAAGGTCAGGAAGGTTGCCGCGCTGACGGAGGGCTCCAAACATCAGTCTTCGACGGCGACTACGGCTGCAGCGCTGCAGGGCAACGTCGCTGGCTCGCAGGCCAGCTCCCGCCGTGGGTGTCTCGCGCGTGGCAGCGGTCCTGGCGCAGATGCAGCTACAGCAGCAGCGGAGCTTGGTTTCTACGAGCTCAACCATCCACATCGCGAACATCAATGCGGCTGACCGTGCCGATGTCCCAACGCCCGAGGAGTACCGCTGACAGGTCGGCATGCTCTACGACAGGACGCAGGCGCGGTGGAGTTCGACTGGGCGCTCTTCGACGCGGACTCAGGGCTCACCACCTGCCCCCGGGGTTCGCGGATACGACCGAGATGCTGCCGCCCAAGACACTGCCTCTCTATGAGGCACCGACGCGTGGCGCGGTCAGGTCCATGGGCGCGAGGACCGTCGCGGCCGAGATCGACGGGGTACCTCTTCAGATCGAATTCCAGGTAACGGACGTGCAGCGCGCCATCGTGAGCGCGGGCGCCTTTACCGAGGCCGGCCACATTCCGATCCCCTGCAAGGAGCCTTACATCCTGCTGACGGACGGCAGCAACATCCGGCTGTGCAGGAACGGGAGCCTGCCCTCGTCAACCCGATCCAGCCGAGCGCTGAGGCGCGAGCCGTGCCTCACGAGTCGCCTGCTGACGTAGGAGATGCAGAACCTGGTGCAGGACCCGCGGCACCACAGCCGATGCCACCTCCACCGACGCCCTGCTGCCGGGGGCGCCCAGGATCAACCTGGCCAAGAGAGAGAGATCAGCGTGAAGGAGTACGACGGCAACGTGGGGACGGAGCGCTGCTACGAGTCTCTGGAGAGGCAGCAGGGGCCAGGGCGAGATGGATCCCAGTGATGCCAGACCGAGCGATCCGAGATCCGCATCGACTAAATCACTGGCCCTTCCGCACCTGGTGCCTATTCTGCATCGTGGGCCGCGGCCAGGAAGACCCGCGCGGGCGCTTGGCTGACCCCGACCGTCTGATCCCGCGTGTCTGCATCGACTACTTGTTCGTGGGGGACGTCAAGGGCGACCCGCTCACTTTGCTGAACATTCTGGAAGTCCAGTCGGGAGCGATCGAGAGCGCGCAGATGACAACGGAGGGGCCTGCAGAGTACGCCGTGGCTGTGACGACAGCGGCGATGCGCATGTGGGGCCTCGACCGAGTTCTTCTCGGCGCTGATGGCGAGCCTGCCGTCGAGGCGCTAGTCCGAGCCGTGCAGCTGGCTCGAGACGACGAGACCGTTCCCCGCAGTGGGCCCAGGCGAGACCCCAAGAACAAGGGAGCTATCGAGAACGCCAACAAGATGGTCGAGGGCATGCTCCACACTTTGAGGGCATCGGGCGAGTCTCGGTACAGCACCAAGCTCACGCTGAACCATTGGACCATGGGCTGGATGATTAGACTCTCGGGCTGGATTCTGTCGCGGTGCCCAGTTAAGGAGGACGGCCCCGCCTCTACCAGCAATTGACGGGTCGCGGCGACGGGGGAGATGTCTGCGAGTTCGGCGAGACGGCCATGTGCAATACCCAGAACATATCCCACTACAAGGCTGATGTCCGATGGGGCAAAGACACCTGGGTCGGGAAGGACGCCCGCACGGACGAGAACATCATGGCGACCGCTGCTGGCAGGAAGACGGCGAGGGCCGTCAGTGGGCGCGTGGAGGACCAGCGCTGGTCCAAGAGCTTGTTCAACAAGGTCGAGTGCACGCCGTGGGGCGCTCGCGCGGGACCAGAGGCAGCGCCGCATCCGCCGCAACGTCGCTGCATCACGAGGGCGACCATTGATCGAGTGGAACGTGCGCCCGGCTGCGACGGCTGCCGCGGACACGGCCATCCACGCACTGAAGCCTGCCGAGAGCGCATCGAGGGCTTGATGAAGGCCGAGGAGGAGAAGGATAAACAAGCGGCAGCAGTTCGAGTGGCCGCGTCCGCAGCTGCGGCCGCACCCCCAGGAGGAGAGCAACGTGTTCAGCCAGGGATTGGCGCCGCACAGCCTGCATCGATACCACCTCCAGCCGTAGCGCAGGACCCGCAAGCTGCCACAGGGGCCGACCAAGAGGACGACCCCGCAGACGGCTGCTGGAGGCGGATGCACCTTCGGACCCCGTGTAGGAGGATGCCGTGGAGCTGCCGCAGCAGGACGGCATGGAGCTCGGCATGGCCGAGGTGGATTTCGACGGCACCCTGACGGAGGCGAAGCGGGGGCCGAAGCCGAGAGTTATCTCTGGTCTGTTCGTGAGCGTGGCAACTGCAGTTCTCGCGCTGGCATTCGACGCTATCCCCGCGACAGCGTGATGGACATCAACAAGCAGGGCCTCTACGACCGCGAGGCGGGTTACCAGAACGTCTTTGGTGAGATCAGGGAAGAGGCTGGATCCCGCCTTGGGGAAGCGAGGAAGGGAGACTGGGGCACAGGCAGATGAAGGAGTTTCAGGGCTTCGGTAGAGCGCCCGAGAATCTGGCGAAGGGCAAGCGCGTCCGAGGGAAGTGGGTCGACGACGAGCGCTTCGACGAGGACGGCAAGGAGTCGGTCAGATCGCGTTTCGTTGCCATGCAGTTCGCCTGGGACGTGCGCGACGACACCTTCGCAGGCACTCCACCACTGGCAGCGTCAGGCGGGTGGTCTTCTTCGCTTCGAGCCTCTACTCCACGGGGGCCGTCTACGACGGCGCGATCGCGCTCTACGACGTGTCGGTGGTGGTCTTTCGCGTGTACATCGATGAGGACACCCACGTGGATCCACCTCGCGGAGAGGATCCAGAAGGCATCGTTTACCAGCTCAAGCGCACTCTCTACGGCACGAGACGCGCACCGTTCCTGTTCCAGAACCTGATCATGGAGGTCATGGAGAAGGGCGGATGCACGCGCATAAAGGTGACGGTGCAGGTCTACTACCACAAGGAGAGGCTGCTGAAGGTGATCGTGCGCGGGGGTGACTTATTGGCTGGAGGAAGGAGAGAATCTCTGGACTGGCTCGACGAGTTGGTAAGGGGACAACCCAAGGTCAATGTGGTGCCGAGGGTAGGCAGCCCTCGGCAAGGAGGAGTCGAACCAGGGATCTTCCTCAAGCGAACGGTGGCGTGGTGCCCCGAAGGGTTCGGTACCCAGCACGATCGCAAGCACGTGGATATCTTGGTCAGCGCCATGTTCAACAAGAAGGTTGGTGGGAGCAGCGGCGCGAAGCGGGCGATCACCCCCCCCTCCAAGACCGTCAGGAAGGACTGCAGGGAGTCATCGGACAAGCTCCGCACGGAGTACGCGACCACCTACCGCAGCATGGCACCCATTGCTTTGTACGTGGCTCATGACCGATTCGACATCCAGGACGCCGTGGATACCTCATGAGGGGCATGGTTGCACCCACCTGGCACCACTGGCTACTCCTACAGCGGCTGGCGAGCTACCTGGGGCACTGCCCGCAGCCCGAGCTCTTCTTCAAGTTCCAGGGGATGCCCAAGGTGATTGTGGCGGAAGTCGACAGCGACTGGGCGTCCGAGCCTGGTTGGAGGTCCGTGGGCGGGGGATTCTTGTTCATCGGCTCGCACCTGATCGACGGCTGGAGCGGCCAGCAGGGCAATCGCGCGCTGAGCAGCGCGGGTGCGGTTTTCAAAGGGATCGTGAACGGCTTGGCGAGAGGCATCTGGCTGAGGAACGTGATGCTGGATATGGGGTTCGAGATGACCCTGCAGGTGAACCCTGGCAGCTCGGGGGCCAAGGGCATCGCACCGCGCTGGGGAAGCGGAAGGGTGCGCCACCTGGCGACGAAATACCTCTGGGCGCAGGAGAAAGTCAGGGACGAGACGATCACGATGGCAAAGATCCGCGCGGATACGAACAGGGCTGACATGCAGACCAAGCCGCCCGAGGGACCGAGATTTCTGGAGTTGCTGGCGATGCTTACACTTCGGACGCCGTCCTCAGGGCGCACGCAGGTGTTCGGAGTGATGTTGGCGGCGACAGTACTTGGTGGAATTCAAGGAATGGAGGTGGCCCCAGCGAGCCAGGCACCGATAGTGATGAGCAGCCCGACCGCGATGGAGCTGGCCTGGGCGACGCCCATCGCGGTGATGTTCGGATCGGCGCTGGCGGTCACGTTCCTGTCCGCGTGGATTGGCTACCGCGTGTACACGGCCCCAATGCGGTTCCTGAACGCGGCTCTGGGAGCTGGTGAGAGATGGCGACGACCAGGTCGCTCAGGTTGAGGCCCCACCTGGAGAGGAGCACCTGGCGATCGTGGAGAGCGGCATCAGCAGACGCACGCAGACGACCCCGATCAAGCACTACTGGACATGGAGTGCGACGGAAATGCGCGAGGAATGCCTGCGCTTGTGCATCTATCGAGGACAGCTCAAGTCGCAGATGATTGAGGACCTGCTGAAAGGAGCAGGCCGTGGGTGAACCCTGCTTGTGGTGCAGCAGCACCGCAGGACATATGCTCGGCGCGCCGTGCTGGAGCGCGCGTCGCCTTGTTTGAAAAGGACCGTCCCCGCCAGTAGCTCGAGGGCGTGAGGAGATGCAGCCCAGCGTTGAGGCGCTGGCCCGCAGATGATGAACTAGATAGGCCCGCGGGCACAGGTCTCAGGGCGGTTTCTGTTCTGTAAGGTGGGCCCCAGGCCAGGCCCAGGGCCCGAGGAGGAGTGCAGCGCAGATGCACTCCTTCACTGATCCGTATGCCGTATGCTACGAGTACTTTTCTAGGAAAGCGACTCGGGAGTTGTTACTCGGTTTCACGCGAGTTTATGTTTGATCGTTTGATGCATCCGCAACCGTTCTGGCTCGAGCGACCTGAGGTGACAAGATCATTGAAGATGTAGGCCCCGTGGGGCCCAGTTCGATCTCGGCACGCTGGCGCGATTCCGCGGAGAACCACCGCCCAATTTCGATCATTTCCTTGATGTGCGTGCTCTTCGCGACTACTGCACAGCCGACTTGAACGCAGTCTCGAACGACACCAATTTCGAGGGGAGGCAGGGTCTCGCAGAGAGCACAGCTCAGACGACCATTTATTTGCGCTGGTCATGATCCAATGGGAATGGGAATGGCAGTTTCCTGCATGGACAACAACGCTGGCTTGTCAAACGGCCCGGCACAGTGTCGCGCAATTCTTCGTGGCAGGCCATGGCGTTGCAAGGCGTGCCGAAGGGCTGCGTCGATCTAATCTCGGGTATGTACTGCGGCCAGACAGCATCTGTACAAACTGACGTTGGAGCAAGGTGTTCAATATTGAACGTGGGACAAAGCAGGGTGGCCCACGCATTTCATTATTCTTCAACTGCTGATCTGGGGAGATTTTCAAAGCATGCCGGGCGACGCGGAAGAACGGACATATGGGCTACTATTTGGTTCTGTCGACAAAGCGCGTCTGATTTATCTGATATTCGCAGGCAACGACCTTCTGATTAGGACGTCGCTCGCGCAGGTCAGCCGGGCGCTGGGGGGCATTGCGGACGTTGCCGGGCGCGGGGTTTTGAGCTACGCCCTCAGATGACGAAGCTATTGCATATTATTGAAGCGCGACGGCCAAGAAAGTCTCTGGATCCGGAGTACACTATTGTGAACGCCTTCGCTATTGAGATCCCACCGCCCAGTGGCAGCCAGCAGTATTTCGGACAACATTTTACATGTGACCAACATGCTTATGTAGACATCGACGCGCGCATCAAAGCAGCGTGGAAACAAGTTCTGGTCATTCAAAGCAGAATTAATATCTCGATGGTGTGTGCTGCGCGACAAATTCCGGCTGTTCAATGGCACCGTGGTTCCTACGATGTTGCGCGGGTCTGCAACGTGGACAATAATCATCCCAGTGGAGATCCACGCACGTACAAACCAGCGGCAGATGATACGAATCAGTATGAGGTCGCCACGAAAACAAATCGTCAATGTTCACGACGACAGCACTGGATCGAACAAGAACGCTGACAAAAACAACGTTTCGGAGCCTTGGGTAGGCTGGGTTCAACGCGCTATTCACATTTCCGAGCGGGTATTCGCCAGTTGTGGCTATGAGGACAGGGTCGCTCTGCAACAAAAGTGGAAGTTGGAATGGACACAGAGAGTCTAGACAGGCAGTCCGCATAAGTGGACATCTAAAGCTTTCTTCTGGGATCCGGAAATCAGTGATATTGCGACGCGACGCCCGCACGGTCTTCAACGGCGATGGACTGAAAAGATGTCCTTGTGAGGGGCTACGTCCCCCGCCGCCGTCCCACGCAGTAGGCGCTCCCCGCATGCGCGTTGATCGGTGCCGGCGCCCGTCCGTCCCGTCCGTCCCTGTTCCTCCTCATCCTCCCTCCCTGTCCCTTCTCCCGCTGTACATACCCATTATTCCTCTTATTTTTTGGGGGGGGGGGTCCTGCGCCTCCTCCTCCTCGCCCCTCGGCGACCAGGGCCTGCTCCTCAGCGCCAGTGCGTGGCACACATCGCTTCGATCGCGCCCAAGGGCCAAGGGCGACACCGACGACAACAACGACGACGAACACCGACAACGACGACGACAACGACCGACGGCCGACGACCGTCGCCCGACGACCGTCGACGCCCGTCGCTCGACGAACGTCGACGACCGATGACGACGACGACGACGGCGACGACGCCCGACGACCGACGACCGACGCCCGACGACCGTCGACCCCTCACGACCGACGACCGTCGACGACGACCGCCGACGCCCGACGCCCGACGCCGACGACGACGACGATGACAACGACAACGACGACGACGACCGATGGCCGACGACCGTCGACGCCCGACGGCCGACCGTCGACGCCAGACGACCGACGACCGTCGATGCTCGACGACCGACGACGACGACGACGACGACGACGACGACGACGACGACGACGACGGCGACGACCGACGGCCAACGACCGTCGATGCCAGACGACCGACGACCGTCGATGCGCGACGACCGACGACGACGACGATGACGACGACGACGACGACCGATGGCCGACGACCGTCGACGCCCAACGGCCGACGACGACGACGACGGCTGACGGCGACGACGACGACGACGGCCGACGGCCAACGCCCGACGGCCGACGGCCGACGGCCGACGACCACGACTGAATTCGCTTGGCCTCTTCTTGCCCGGATCCTGTCCCGCCCGAGCACCGAGCGCCAGGCTCTGTACGCGTGGCACTTCCCCAGGGCGGGCCGCGTGCTCGAGGGCGCCGCAGGCTGGTGGCGGGGGGCGCGGGCGGGGGCTGCGAAGCGCGATGGCGGTGCGACGGTGTTTCCTCCTCCTCCTCCTCCTTCTCCTCCTTCTCCTCCTCCTCCTCCTCCCCCTTCCCCTCCTCCTCCTGCTCGTCCTCCTCCTTCTCCTTCTCCTCCTCCTCCTCTTCCTCCTCCTCCTCCTCCTCCGCCTCCTCCTGACAGCCGAATCATCTGACGTGGCATCGACACATGCGGAGCTGCCTCGACGGTGGTAGCGGCCCGGCGGGCACGGCCAAGGCTGGCGGAGTGAGGGCCTGGAGCGAAGCAGGTGCCTCGGGTGTCACGGCGCACGCCGGGGCACACGAAAGCGTCTCGGCCAAGAGCGGCCTTCGCGAAGCGGCTCTGTCTCTCCAGATGAGCCGGCGAGGTCAATGACGATGGCTGCGATGGCGAGTAAAGTGATGGCGAATGCGATTGACGAGGCCAGGCAGGATCTGTTACGATTGTTGAGGTGCTTCCAGTAGGCAGTGTTTTTCCCCTGGGATGCGACGGACGCTTGGCATTTGTAGAAGTGTGTCAGGTGTGCGCGTGTGTGTGTGTGTGTGTGTGTGTGTGTGTGTGTGTGTTTGTTTATGTGTGTGTGTGTGTTTGTTTATGTGTGCTAAATCTGACTCGCGACGTCGAATGTGCCACAGTCGGACCCTTTTGCTGGTGTGGGCTGCTCGTCGCACAACCGTTAATCGGGGCCCCAGTTTTTCCAAAGGGAGAGTGGTTTTTATCTGCTTATCTCCTGATGGAGCCATGTGTTTCCTCCCACGGCACTGCTGGTAATGGTTGTTGCGGAAACAAGTCCCGGTGGCGTGTGGAGGCCCGATTGAAATGCCAACCAGTCCCCAGACCTCGATGCTCGGTCCTCGATCCCAAAGATCCGATGTATCGTTTTTCCCATACGGGATTCCCCAGAAATCCCCACCCTTTCCCCAGCGCCGGTTTTCTTCCAGAGTCGCTTTTTGACGGCCCAGGGGCCCAGCGAGGGCCCCAGAGGCCGGAACCCGCGAAAGCATTGGCGCGCTCTTTTTCTGAATATGCTGGAGGTTCGGGTTTTTCATCCCGACTCGCGTTTTGACGGCCCCGGGGCTTGGCGAGGGCCCCACCGGCCGAAAACACTGAAACATCGGCGAGTTGTTTCTTTCAGTATGCTGAAAGCTTGGGCTTTTCATCCCGAGTTGTGTCTTGACAGCCCAAGGGGTCTGGCAAGGGCCCCAAGAGGCCGAAAACGGACAAAAAATGGCGCGTTGTTTTCAATGCGCTGGAGGTCTAGGTTTTTCACCCCGCGTCGAGTTTCGACTGCCCCGAGGCCCGGCGAGGGCCCCCCGAAGCCGAAAACGGCGAAGGTCTGGTTGACAAGAAGCAGCACAATATCGTTGGAGGGTTGAGATCCTGGGTCCTGGATCCTTGACTCTACCATTTCGGAACATCTCCCTATCCCTATCCTTATGATCTGCATTCGCCCCATCTCGATGCCAATCAATCTCTCCAGGACCCCCTCAGCTTCTGAGGGCGCACCCCTGGGATTGTCACCGCCTTTGGGAACGCCGATCCTAGAAACCTCGTCAAAAATGAACAGAAGACTTCTTAATTCGGTGATTGTGGGGTCAGCACTATTCCAATGCTGACGGATGCCTGTTGACTCGGCCGCGGTGTTGTCAAAGAACCGACCCCACCCTCTCAGCATTGGAGAACGCGCTTTCCGACAAGTGCCCAAAATTATCGTGCTCCAGGATTTCAATTTCCACTTCTGGATATCTTTGACGAGGCTTGGGCACATTCCTGCGGGGCGCGAGCCGCCAGCTGAGGCCAAGCCGGGCGCGCGTGAGGGCCGCGCGCGCGGGGCGCCCGGCGCCGAGGCGGCCGCCGCCGGGGCGGCAGCGGGCGCGCGCTCGCGGGGGTCCCGTGGCCGCGCGGGCGCCCACAGGCGAGACGGCAGGCGGTGGGCGGGTCTGGGGTTGGAGCCGTCTGGGGGTGGGAGGTGGCCCAGCACTGGCCCTGGCCAGCGAGAATGGCGGGCAGGTTCGAGGGTCTGGCTTCGAGAAGCTTTTTTTTTGTTGGTGGAAGAACATAGCTATACGACCACCCTGTGGGTGATAAGGAGGTTTGGGGGGGAGGGGGCCAGCAAGGGGCAACAGTGGTGATTGTTGTTCTGACGATGCCAGTGGAGATCGTTGCGTCGCCACTATCGATCCCACTATCGATCTCGCTATCGACCTCACTATCGATCTCGCTTTCGATCTCACTATTCATCTCACTATCGATTCCATTATCGATCTCGCTATCGACCCCACTCGATCGATCTCACTATCGATCTCAGTATCGATCTCACTATCGATATCACGATCGATCTCATTATAGATCTCACTATCGATCTCTCACTCCAGATCTCACTATCGATCTCACAATCGGTCTAATTATCGATATCACTATCGATCTCATTATCGATCTCTGTGTCGATCTCACCACGGGACACCACGGGACAACGACGGGACACCGGCGGGACACCGGCGGGACACCGCGCGCCACCTGTTGCCGCGCGGAGAACCTTTTGGTCCGGCCGCGGCCCAGCCACCACGGGACACCGGCGGGACATCAGCGGGACACCATCGGGACACCGGCGGAACACCGCGCGGCCCCGAACGCCGGGTCGCCAAACATTTGGTCCGGCCGCGCTTCAGCTACAGGAGACTTTCCTCTCGCCCACCCACGCAGCTTCGCCTCGCCCGCACGCACGGCACGCACGAACACGAAACCGAATCCGATTTCCCTGCAGGGGGGCTCTCCGTTCCACTTCGATCGAAGTGGAACGGAGAGCCCCCCTACCGGGAAATCGGTTTCGGTTTCGTGTTCGTGCGTGCCGTGGGTGCGGGCGAGGCGAAGCTGCGTGGGCGGGCGAGAAATATGTCTCCTGTAGCTGAGGCGCGGCCGGACCAAAAGTCTCCCTTTTGGCAACCGGTGCCCCGCGGTGTCCCGCCGGTGTCCCGCTCGGGGGCCGGTGGCGCGCGGTGTCCCGCCAGTGTCCCCCTGGTGTCCCGTCAGTGTCCCGATGATGATGATGACGATGATGATGATGATGATGATGATGATGATGATGATGATGATGATGATGATGATGATGAAGAGGAGGAGGAGGGGGAGGATCATGTTGGTGATGTTGACGATGATGATGATGATGGTGATCGTGGTGATGATGATGAAGTCCCGATGAAGGTGATGTTGACGATGTTGATGATGATGGTGATGGTGGTGATGATGAAGGTGCCCCGATGTTGATGATGATGTTGATGATGACGATGTTGCTGATGAAGATGATGATGGTGCCCCGATGATGGTGTTGATGATCATGATGATGCTGATGATGATCATATGATTGATGATGGTGGTGATGATGATGATGGTGTCCGGATGATGGTGATGATAATGAGTCTGATGATGTTGTTGATGACGATGATGATGATACTGATGATGATGATGACGATGATGGTGTCCTGCTGATGATGATGTTGATGATGAGGATAATGATGAGGTGATGATGATGATTTTGAAGATGGTGGCCCAATGATGGTGCTGATGATGCTGATGTTGATGTTGATGTTGATGTTGATTTTGATGTTGATGTTGATGATGATGATGATGATGATGATGATGATGGTGTCCCGGCGATGTCGATGATGATGGTGATGATGGTGATGGTGTCGATGATGATGGTGTTCCGATAATGATGATGTTGATGATGATGTTGCTAATGATGATGATGATGATGATGATGATGATGATGATGGTGTCCCGATGATGATGGTGATGATGTTGATGATATTGATGATGTTGATGGCGTTGCTCATGATCATGATGAAAAGGTGATGATGGTGGTGTTCCGATGGTGATGGTGATGGTGTGCCGATGATGATGATGATGATGATGATGATGACGATGTTGAGGATGATGATAATGGTGACGACGATGGTGTCCCGATGATGATGATGATGATGATGATGATGATGATGATGATGACGATGATGATGATGATGATGATGATGATGATGATGATGAAGAAGATGATGATGGTGATGATGATGGTGATGATGATTCTGATGATGATGATAGTGATGATGATGGTGTTGATGATGAGGGTGATGAGGTGGTGCTGATGATGGTGTCCCGATGATGCTGATGATGATAATGATGATCATGATGCTGATGACGTTGATGACGATGATGTTGATGATGATGACGTTGCTTGTGGTTTCGATTGATAGTTATACCGATTGTGAGATCGATTGTGAGATCGATAGTGAGATCGATTGTGAGATCGAAAGTCAGATCGATTGTCAGATCGATCGAAACAAATATATCGAGTAAGATCGATTGGGAGATCGATCGAGTGAGATCGATCGAGCGAGACCGATAGTGAGATCGATCGTGAGATCGATAGTAAGACCGATCGAGTGAGACGTTGGTTCCTCCCCCCCCGAACCGCCTTATCACCCGAAAGGTGGTCGTATAGGTATAAATATATGTGTGTGTATATATATATATATATATGAGAGGTGAGGGGGTGAGATCGAAGTGTAACGGAGAGCCCCCCTACCAGGAAATCGTTTTCGGTTTCGTGTTCGTGCGTGCCGTGCGTGCGGGCGAGGTGAAGCTGCGTGGGCGGGCGAGAGAAAGTCTCCTGTGGCTGAGGCGCGGCCGGACCAAATGTCTCCCTTCCGGGCGGCCAGGGGCCCGCGGTGTCCCGCCGGTGTCCCGCTGGTGTCCCGTGTGGCTGAGGCGCGGCCGGACCAAATGACTCCCTTCTGGGCGGCCGGGGGCCCGCTGTCTCCCGCCCGTGTCCCGTCGGTGCCCCGTCGGTGTCCCGATGATGATGATGTTGATGATGATGATGGTGCTGATGATGATGATGATGATGATGATGATGATGATGATATGAGTGTGTTGATGGTGTCCCGATGATGCTGATGATGGTGATGCGGATCGATTGTGAGATCGATAGTGAGGTCGAATGTGAGATCGATAGTGAGATCGATAGTGATATCGGTTGTGAGATCGCACGTGGAACCGAATGTCAGATCGATTGTGAGATCGGTTGTGATATCGATAGTGAGATCGATAGTGGTATCGGTAGTGAGATCGATTGTGAGACAGAATGGGAGATCGTTTGTGATATCGATAATGAGATCGATAGTGAGACCGAATGTGAGATCGATAATGAGATCGATAGTGAGTTTGATCGTGAGATCGATAGTCATATCGAGTGCGAGATTGCTTGTAATATCGATTGTGAGATCAATAGCGAGACCGAATGTGAGATCGATTGTGGGATCGATTGTGAGATTGATTGTGAGATCGATAGTCAGATCGATTGTGAGATCCATCAATTGACATCGATTGTGAGATCGGTAGTGAGTTCGATCGTGAGATCAATCGAGTGCGACGTTGGTCCCTCCCCCCCCTCACATCTTTATCACCCGAAAGGTGGTCTATGCGGTATATATATATATGTATATGTGTATATATATATGTATGTATGTATATATATATATATATATATATCGGCGGTTGGTGGGTGAGACCGCAGTGAAACGGAAACCCCCCGCCGGGAAATCGGTTTCGGTTTCGTGTTCGTGTCGTGCGTGCGGGCGAGGCGAAGCTGCGCGCGATCCTCCTGTAGCTAAGCCGAAGTAGGAGCGAAAGTCCGTTTCCCGTCCGCCGGTGGCCGGGAGGTGTCTCAGTTGGGCCGGGCGGTGTCCCGGGTGTCCCGGGTATCCCGGGCGTCCTGGCGCTAACGCATGTCGCTGATTTCGTAATGTATTTTTGTTCGGCACCTACGGCGGGCTTTCTTATCCAATCCAGCTTATCTCATCCAATCCATCTTCTCCAATCCAATCCATCTTACCATATCCAACCCATCTTGTCCCATCTTATCTTACCCAAACCAATCCAATCCACCCAACCCACTCCATCAATTCATTTGTTTCTGCGCCTGCGGTCGGCCAGTCCAGTCCATCTTATCTTATCCTATCCACTTTTTCCAATCCAACCCATCTTACCTATACGACCACCCTTCGGGTGATAAGGAGGTTCGGGGGGGAGGGAGGAACCAACGTCTCACTCGATCGGTCTCGCTATCGATCTCGCTATCGATCCCACTATCGGTCTCGCTGGATCGATATCACTCGATCGATTTCGCAACCGATCTCACTCGACCTACTTCATTTGATCGATCTCACAATCGATCTGACGATCGATCTCGCAATCGATCTCACTATCGATCTCACAATCGATATCACATTCGGTCTAACTATCGGTATCATTATCGACATCACAATCGATATCACAATCAACGTCACCAACATCATCGTCATCAACGTCATCAGCATCATCATCAGCATCATCGGGACACCATCATTCCCATCACCTCATCACCATCATCCTCAACATCACCATCACCATATCATCATCAGCATCGGGACACCATCATCATCACAATCATCCTCATTCACATCATCGCCATCATTAACATCATCATATCGGGGCACCATCATCATCACCACCCTCACCATCATCATCATCATCAACATCGTCATCATCATCATCATCGGGGCACCATCATCATCACCACCATCACCATCATCATCATCAACACCATCACCATCAACATCAACGGAACACTATCATCATCGGGACACCATCATCATAACCATCATCATCATCAACATCATCGGGACACCATCATCATCAACAGCAACATCTTCATCACCATCATTGGGCCGCCATCTGCAAAATCACCATCATCACCCCTATCATCATCCTCATCATCAACGT